TCCTATCTAATTTCCCGCAACCTCAATAATTCTTTTAACAATAGCCTACAATAACCTTCTATGCACGGAGCGCGTCATTTCCCTTCAACCTTCCTTTCCCCTTTTTCTCCCTCGCTCAATGGTGGTTCCCCACGCCGCAAAAAAAAAGAAATGTTCCCTCACATGAAAGAAGGAAGAAGAAAAAAAAAGAACTTGCCTTCGGCGAACAGCGGCTGCCGCCCTCTGTCCCTCAACATTAACTGCCCTGCTCTAAGCCTGCTGAGATGAATTTATAAACAGAAAATCCGGACTTGGTATTTTCGTACGACCTGTCTATGTAAGTTTCTAGACGACAATTACTAATATCGTAATACCGGGCGTAACTTCCCTCCTCAAGCAACAAACAAAAAAAAACGCAAACGAATATTCCTGTTCCTAGTAATATTAGCTGTAAGTAGGCAACGAAGCAAAAAAAAAATATAACTTGAAAAAGTTAGCTCTAGCGTCTTTACTGCCTTCAACGTATCTTATGCGAGCGCAATGAATCGTATCATTATTATTTTATTATTCTCTGTTCAATTTGCGCGAGCCCCAAACAAAACAACCCCGGTGCTGAAACAAAAATTCTAATTAAATGCACTACGATTTCCAATTTCGTGATTTTGCGAGCCCTATAGTAATTGCGTCGAAAGCTATTTAGTCCATCTTTTCCTCCATACTTCCTTCACTTGGGACCTGGCCCGAATGTATACCTCCGTGCGAGCGGTAGGGCGGGTGGTGTTTTCGGAGGTTTGAAGAACATCCCGCCGAAATTCCTATGTCCTTCCTGTTGCTTTCCATTTTCGTCCGTCGCTTAACCATCTTTACCGCGCTCAATCTAGTCTAGCTAATTTCTCGCAGAGCCCCAAGACTGACGCTAACGCAGATGAGCAAAATAACAACTATATCGCAAGACATGATGCGCGGTAAGGTGCACTACCGATAATAAAGTTAAAAAAAGTCTCCATGAAATAACTTTCGTGTCCCCTAAACACCCAAATACTTACTTGAATGCATGAACACTACTATAAATTTCGCGCCATATAAATACGAGTTGTTTGCGCGCCAAATACACAAGAAAAACGAAATGTCTATCTAATAATCGAATACGAAGTACCACCAAAAATCACCTACACAACCAAACAGCTACTTGAATGCCTAGATCATACGAGAATCGCGCGCCAATTTAAGCTAACATCCCAGGCAACCTTCTGCCAGAATTGAAATACCTAAATTACCTAATCTTTAATCGCGCGCTGACCTAGTTTACTCTAACCCAAAGGGATTGGTTTCATATTGTATATTCGCAAATTCTACAGCGCCACTCCTTTAGTTTAGCACGAGAACGAGAGAGAGAGTTTTTATAACACCCTAAACATCCTATAAGAAAATCCCACAGCAGAGAATTTAATGCATTGACACAAAAAATCCTATCACAGAAAAAAAAATCACCTAAAATGCAATTATGGCACACAAAAATTCAAAAATTAGCTCAACAGTAACAGAAAAAGAAAAAAAAAAACTTAATTATTACTCCAATTGTCAATTCGTCACTGCCAGTTTTTGAACCCCACACCGACAGCACCACTTGATTACGAGGACTACTTTTGTTTGATTAAAGAATTGCGTCCTACTTCTACTTTATTTCTAACTTCTCTTTTAGTCTTGATGTAGTGATTGCAACCGAAACTATGTTTATCGATATAAGGGTTTGCGTCGATAGTTTGTATAGTTATTTCAAGACAACTAGTTATTTCTACACCTGTATTGAACTCATCAATCGTATGGATGAACTTTACTCTCGATAGAGTTTTTAAATAAACATCTTAAAAAAAATTACTGTCAGGTTTCTAGCACGAGGGTCGGTGCGTTGAAAAAGTTCTCACGCTGGCAGCTAAGCGACGAATTGACAAGGGAAAAGATACAAATAAGCATGTCAACACTTATATACTTAAAGGCAGAAAAAAAAATCTACTCTAGTACAGGACTGGGCGTTCGAGCTAGATACTATCTCCTAACAGGCACAGTACGATTACCCGAGGCGAACACCGCGGGAAATAACTAAAGGTAGCTACCCTGAGAATACTATTTCAATTTTTCACAGATGTACATCACCCGAGGTCTGTAGATGGCATAGCGTCCTGGATGAAATTGGTGGTGAAGCCCGGGCCCTGGTCGTTCCAGTGTTCCTCGAGGCCGACCGGCGGAGTTTCTATTCCATAGTATGGAGGCTTGTGGCCCGATCGTGGTCGTTCTCTTCGCCGGGGATGCTGGTTATTCTGGTAGTTCAGGATAACTTGCTTGAAGCGGTAGTTAAGTCGTAGTTCCTTTTACTCGATGGTAAGTCGTGAGATCTCAGAGCAGCTCCACTCTTTCGACAGAGCGGTTCCAATATTCTTCTTCGGTTGGCTTCTTCTCCGTGATATACAACGCGGTCGGCTGAAGTTGTCTGAAGAGACGTCGTGACTCAAGAAAATAACGAACACCACAGTTGTTTCTAAACACTCACTCTTTGGTCCGACTGCCTCTAACGCCGCCACGGGACTGACTCGCGGTCGGCCCGCTCTCTCTCTTAAATACTCCGCCGGTCTCGCGCAAGCGCTCTAGCTAGGCGGTTCGAGCTCCTCCCTCGAAATCCCGAGTTTATGTCTAATCATCAATTCCTAATTTTATGTAAAATTTATTCCTATTCCTAATCACTCGATCAGTTCCAATTGTATCCGAAATTAGGCCAATTGTTCAATGAAGCTTTAGTGTAGCAATATATCGAATGAACATAAGTGCTGAATGAAATTGATCAGTTGGCATCAACTGCCTGGTGGTAAATAATTAGTTCAAGGTATGAGTCACTTCATGACTACACAATCTCATGAGTGAAATATGACTACCCGTTAGCCTAATTAATGTTCTATCACTAAGACGAACATAAGAAACTAAAAATGCGACTTATATCTAAGAGAGGGACATCTTGGGTGTCCTGGACTTCGGCACAGGTGTTGCCAAGTCCTCTTGAGTCTTCGGTCTTGTGCTAATCTTCGCAAGAACAGTAAGTTCCCGCTCGGGGAAAACACAGGCATTAATATTGGTATATTAACTGAATAAACTTAAACGGAATAATAACCCGATTATAAGTGGATCAGACGTTAAATTTTTGGCTTTGTTAGAGGACAGCCATTAATATGGTGTCATTTACGGTAAATGAATTTGTATTAATTAGTCTTGATCATGTAAGCAGAAGAATTGGTTCACACAGAGTTCCAAGGTACTTAAGGTACGCTTACAATAATTTTATAATAAGACTAACACTAAAAAAATTTAACAATGCACAAGTGCAAAATGATCTTCTACAACATTGTTATGCGCTGTAAAGTTTGTTAGCACGTAAGTTGAGTTATAACCTGTCGGTGACTTATTTTGTCTTACAGCGAAACAGCGATGATTGTTCGTGCAGCTAATGTCACTCAGGTACAGGGTTTCTACCAGCGCCATGCACAGTATCGCGGTCGGCGGGCCAAAACTCCTGTAAATACGTATTTTAGTACACATACACTGACTAACAGAGTTCCACAATAATTTATAAATAACGAATTTATATCACTTGTTTGCTTAAATCGCAAATTAACTAAGAATTTAAAAGCAAAGAAAAGTCCACAAAAATTCATATCTTTATAGAAAACGTTTCGGAGACCAGCTCCATCGTCAGTTCGTAGAATCTAGAATTACAAATCAGAAATCACAAATTAATACATCGAAAGCACAGAACAAAATTAAAAACCTAAATTTACAAGTAATAGACGAAGAAAAAATTGAGTTCTGGCAGTGATCGAGGACGCACGTAGTGTTTGCGGGTCCCAACTTTCTCACTTTCTCACTCACGCGGGTCCAACGAACAACTCTCTTAACATTTCCATGGACCGGCGAGCAGTGTAAGCAGTGTGAGTCTTTCTGTGGGGCTACCTAAAGGCTGAAGTGTACAAACATCGTCCCAGAAATATGCAAGAACTAAAACATGCCTTTAGGCAGGAAGTGGCAGCCATTCCAAGGGAGGTTACACGATGAACTATGGGCAACTTCAGGGAAAAACTTCGTGAATGTCTTAACAATGGGGGACATCATTTATCGAACACAATTGTCAAAACCAAGTAAAGTGTACTAAATGATATAAAATGGCATCAAATAAGCTATTCGCAAATAAAATTAGTTGTTTTGTATGTGTCTTGTAATTTTTGCAAAAGCCTATTGAAATCAGGGAGTTTTTTTGGCGGACCCTGTATATGCCTTGAATGTTTTTTTAATTAACTTAAATTTTATATAATGGACAAAATATTCCTTTTCTTTTATTACTTAAAAAAGGAAATCCGTATATGAAATGTCTCGAAATTTTAAGGTTACCACTAGATTATGAAGAGTTTCAATTATCAAATTACGTTAGGAATTTTTTTCTCAATGATAATTCGAGATATCAGATAAGTTCGAAAAGAATTTTTTTCGCAAGAGCGCGTACGCAGAAACAATATAGATAAAGGAAATAAGTGTGAATGGAGCAAACAGAAAACCGTACAGAATATGATGTATCGAGTAGTGATTTATCTAACCATGATGTATCCAACTACGTCGTATCAATAGACAATTCTCAAGTTGGGATGCCCGTCGGCAGAGGTATAGTAGCAGTAAACCGCAGATAATTTCAAACGGTGGAGGCTTCATTAGGGCTTGGTCCTCAAGCAATGGTTAATTATATGATATGGTTTTCTTTTGGTGGAACACCTAATATTTTTTTAATTAAGTAGCGGGGAATCCATGGAGAAAAATTTCACGGTTGACCGAGAACATTAGAGCTGTTGGCTGAATGACTGGTCATACCCAAGCTCTGAGGTGGTGGTTTATGGTCATGAAGCTCACGTCGAAAAAAAAGTAGACTTGAGAAAGAACCCGACCGCTAACCGCTTATGTCGCATTAAGATTTCTCTTCGGGAAAATAGGAGTACTGTAAACAATTGGTTTATTTTTACGAACGTTAGGATCTCTATTACTCTGTATCATCACCCTAAAATGTTATTTATAAAATAGTGTGGAACTCTGTTAGTCAGTGGATGTGTACTATTTACAGGAGTTTTGGCCCGCCGACCGCGATACTGTGCATGGCGCTGGCAGGAACCCCGTACCTGAGTGACATTAGCTGCACGACTTTGTACGAACCGCTTAAGACCGTAAGTGGATCGCATTCGTTAAGACTAAATAATCGGAAGTTGTTTTGTTTTGTCTTGGACTTGATCAAGGACGCAGAGGAAGTGGTAAGTCGTGCTTGAGAAGCTGTCCTCGAGCTTGGCTTTACCGAAAAGGTTTTTGTAAACCATTTAATGTTACAAGTAAGTTTTTATCCTAAGGGAAATTATAATCGCATTCTCGTCGCTGATTTTTTTCCGTCATCCATGGTAACTATTGTCTCCCATACTGACGTGATGGAACGCGCTAGCGACCGTTTCAACATTAAACAGTGAGGCACGTTCTCGCTGCGATACTCCAACTTCTGTGGGCGGGGCAGGGAAGTGAGTTCACTCCATTATTTAGCCTTCTTGTCATTCACGGTGAGAAAACAATCATCGCTGTTTCGCAGTAAGATAAAATAAGTCACAGACAGGTTATAACTCAACTTACGTGCTTACAAACATTACAGCGCATAACAATGTTGTAGAAGATATTCTTGCACTTGTGCATTGATAAATTTTTTTAGTGTTAGTCTTATAATAGAATTATTGTGAGCGTACCTTAAGTACCTTGGCACTCTATGTGAACCAATTCTTCCGCTTACATGATCAAGACTAATTATACAAGTTTATTTAACGTAAATGACCATATTAATGGCTATCTTCTAACAAAGCCAAAATTTAACGTAACGTAATAATATTGGTCTAATCCACTTACAGTCGGGTTATTATTCCGTTTAAATTTATTCTGTTAATATACCAATATTAATGCCCGTGTTTTTTTCCGAGCGAGAACTTTCTATTCTCGCGAAGATTAGCACAGGACCGAAGACTAAAGAGGACTTGGCAACACCTGTGCCGAAGTCCAGGACACCCAAGATGTATTTCTCTTAGATATAAGTCGCATTTGATAGTTTCTTATGTTTGTTTTAGTGATAGAAGCTAACGGGTAGTCATATTTCACTCCTGAGATTGTGTAGTCATGAAGTGACTCATTCTTGGATTAATTATTTACCACCAGGCAGTTGATTCCAACTGATCAATTTCATTCAGCACTTATTGTTCATTCGATATATTGCCACACTGCGCTGCAACTTCTCCACGCGACAAAATTTCTTCTCGCTTCGAGTCACCGACATGAGGAACAGCCTCCCCGATGACATCGTTGGCGCTCCAAGTATGAACGCGTTCAAGAGCAGATTAGATGGGGCATGAACAGCACTCCTCTAGATGGGGCATGAACATCACTCCTCTAGATGGGGCATGAACAGCACTCCTCTAGATGGGGTCTGCCTCACAGATCACCCGCCTTGCATCACTGCACTACGCGCTGCTGAAGCGGTACATCCACGCGCAGTTCAGCTGCAGGCAGTTTTGCTTGCCGGGATTGACGGGTTCTTGCGCCCCAAATGAATCCTGTAAGATACTGATGCTAAGTTCTCTTACGATTGTCGTGTATGCTGCTAATTGAAAAATTAAATTTTAATTCTGAGGTTTATTCGGGAGCAATAAAAGCTTCAGTTTCATCAGTCACTGAGGCGGCATCCATGCGGGCCAGCGCCACGGTGGATGTCGCATCCGCAATCAAAATTTTCCAGTAAAATTCTCAATGACAGGCAGAGTGCCAGCTGCTTCGCAAACACAGCGTTGACATTAGCATGTTAAACAGCATCCGTCAACCGCTTCACGCTCTTCAAACACAATGCAAACTATGGACACATACGTTATGTGGTTCATAGGAGTTTACAGTTAAGTTAGCAAGACATGGGCTGTACGAGTATTAAATGTCTGAGCTACTCATGTTAAAATCCGATTTACTGATTTTTCCACAATTAATTTATTGTTTAAGGGGAGCGTCTCGGTCAAAATCGAAAATTTTGACTTTTTCGGTTTTTATACTCATTTTAAAGCTTACATTCTGCCGCATCTAACGGTACCAATACCATCTCTGTACGTTGATTTATGCGTTCACGACAGATCGCGAAAGGGTTAGGGGTGGTGGAGTTCCTTAACATTTAATATAGGCCTAAATTACCGGTAGCACACTTAAATAGCTAGTCTGAACACACTGTGCTTCAGTTATCCGCCTGCAGTCATATGGGATGGCTCTCGTGCCGTCATTCGCACCATCCATGACAGAAATTGAGCTCCAATATCTTTTAGTCTTGCAACCTTGCACTCTTGAATGACTTTTTTGAGGCGCGCGCGACTTTTTCGGGCACTACTGAAAAAATAACTTATTGTCACTGCAAACCTATCTCCTCCTAGAGTTTTGAAGCTACATCAATGAGACAAACACCATTCGATTTGGAAAAAATATCTACAAAAGTGTGTATGGGTTTTTGTAATTTCGTCATAATTTAGATTTTATTCTGCAAAAAGGGGGGAGGCGGGGGGTAAAATCGAAAAATTTCCGAAAATTTTACAAAAAATGCTCCCACACCCACAAAAATGAGAAATTCAAAAAACCTATACACAATTTTGTAGATGTGATCTTTACGCATCGAATGATATGTGTCTCGATGTTGTAGCTTAAAAATCCTAGGAGGAGTACCCCTTTTTGGTCGTTTTCTAAGAATTTCACGTTTTCTTTCAATTTTTTCGAAAAATTGACACGAATAAAACCTGTTTTATTTTAGGGTTTACATATGTGTATCAAATTTCAGATTGATCCCTCTGTAAATTACTGAGATAAATTTTAGGCGAGACGCTCCCCTTAATCGATTTGAAATTTTCATTTGACGATGAAACTTACAAGTTCTGACAAACTGGATCGCTCGTCAACACTGTTTAGAGCCAAGCTACAGTATCCATGTTACTAAACTTCTGATCAATTCTCATTCCCGACTAAAACATCAGTCTTTCTACTACAGTCGGATTACGAAAACATTATTAGATTGTATGGAAAACTGTACCAGTGAAAGAAAAAGGATGTAATTAGGGTTTAGAACTCAATAATCTTATCTGAAGTAATTAGTTCAGCTATTTACCACTTTGAACTAGCAATCCTCCAAATCCTTAATTGGACAGTAAATATTCTTGCATTTGTCTTAACGTGTAAGTAGCACGCAATCTTCATTCCAGGAAAGCGGAGCATTAAGGGAGTAGTTGTAGAAGTTGCCATTTCACAGCGCGCCCTCCTCATTCAGCTGTGCGCAGTGCGCACTCACGCGGCAGTCACGCCCATCAGTGCATGTGACGTGTCAGTATCCTATAGTGACTAAGTTCCTCTAGATGGGGTCTGCCTCACAGATCACCCGTCTTACATCGCTGCACCACGCGCTGCTGAAGCGGTACATCCACGCGCAGTTCAGCTCCAGGCAGTTCTGCTTGCCAGGATTGTCGGGTTCTTGTGATCCAACATACGCCTGCGCAAAAATATAGCCAACATCTTCTATTATTTTTGTTAGATCAATGATGTGAAGCTGACATGCAATTATATATTGTTTAAATTACAGCATTTCCAGAAATATTACATGATCCTGGATTCATCAAAGTTTCGAAATATCAAAATGACTTTATTCCATCCCAGGTTTGAATTTTGTTATATAAACCGGATTTTCGAATAAATTTCTAACTGAATTCTTTCAAATTTGCCTTTGTCATAAGTTTACGATAAAGTCGCTTGCCTATACCTTATAATGATTACATCACCGGCATCTAGCTTCCATAGATAGGATTTTATTTATATTGGTTTCAAAATCTGATATGAGTACGCAATTCTGAGTTTGCTTTTTTTGTGCACTTCTTTTAAATATTTACGGGTCAGTATCCTTACCTGTGCCCAGTAAGGCAGTCGCATGGTCATCGGCGAACCGTCAACCCAGCGCCATTGCCCTTCCACGGCCTCATCTGAGCCCCCGATCCAAAGGGGAGAGTAGTCTTACCAAGAAAAGAGATAACAAATCTAGAGGATAAGGAATTAAGTTTCGAAATATTACTCTGAATAAAACAGCTGCTATTTCCCTAGCACTCACTATATAAATGTCTCTAAATTGATAAAGGGAAGTTTTCCAGAGTAAACAACTTCTTGAAGGCGCTATATAAGGCGCAACTTCTTGAAGGCGCTATATGAAGACCAGCCTATACACTGAGAGAAAAAGGCCCCCTGTTTTGAAACACTTGGGTGTTTCAAATCCTCCCCGAGCGATCGTGCCCAAAGCGAAACACCCGTGTGTTTCAAAAACGTTCAGGTGTTTCAAAATTTGCGTTGAGTTGAAACAATTAACCGAATTGAGTTGGGCCAATTAACCGTAAGCAGTATAGATTCGTGGCATTCATGAGCGGCGGCTCCACACAACCACCTACTACGACAGCATTCGGCGCACTGACCACGCGACGCTTGCCGCACACATATAAGCGCGTGAAGCTCGAGAGGCTTTGAAACACCCAAGTGTTTCAAAACGGGGGACCTTTTTCTCTCAGTGTAGGCGCAACTTCTTGAAGGCGCTATATGAAGACCAGCCTATAGGCTGGTGGAGGTAAATAGAAATTAGTCGTGATATGAATTGACTCCATTTTAACCTGAGGTATCCAGGTCTACATCACTCGCATATTAAACCTCAACCTCGCAGCTCTGGTCTTAGTTATCTTAGTTGAATTTGAAAGTACAAGCATCATTAGGGTTTGATAGGCAGTGTTTATTTTGAAAGATATGAGTTTTTCCAACAGTTACCTTGTTCATCGAGGTAGAGGGCAACCTTGTGGTACTGATCGCAGTTGTCAACAACAAACAGGTCCCCACCGACCAGTCCACACTGGGTACGAGCCTCGTGCCAGGTGTAGTTGGCACGAATTATGTGAACACATTGAGTGCCAACCAAAACAAAAGGATTTTGGCAGAGACCTGCAGTGGAATACATTTCCACTATGTTAAATATGGAATGAATGAAAGTTATTAGATTATTGAAGCTTGGAAACTGGATATTAGTTCCAGGACCTGCCGAACTTTGAGAAGACATTACATAGATTAGCTCTGCTTTGCCTAGGGTCCTGCCATTCGTGCGTTAAATCTCACTTTACCAAGTTTATTTCAAGACCTACATCCTGTTTAACTGGAATATTTATCATTTCAGACTTTAAGCTAATATCGGAACTATATAGATATTGCCATGCAACTAGTATATGCAAGCGTTTTATGTACAGCAAGCAATATGCAATGAACCCTCAGGTTCAAGGTGTGCCGAATATCAGTAAATATTTATTGATGCAAGACTCAGGTTCAATATGTGCCATGTCGCGATAACATCAAAATGAAATCAAGCAAGATGAAATGATAAAAATTCAGAAGTAAACACGTAGACTGCACAGAGATTCCATCATGCATATTGCATGGTGCCCCTCACCTAATATTCTTTAATGAACTGGATAGCTGTAAGTTTTTTAGCTCTCCCTCATTATGGTTACTTTTCCTTCTTCTTTTTGATAATCTTGAAGCATCCATTCATATTTCACTTTTGAGCCGTAAATTTTTCTAAGATATCAACCTAATCTTGAGAGATAACTCCTGAAAATTACAGTCAAGTCAAAGTTACGTACAAACTCATAACAATTTTGTACGTAATTCTGCAGTTTAATTGTAAATTCTTTCGATGGGATTAATTTAGCAGTTGACGGCCTAAAATAATCAAAATCTTATAACAAATTCCTCCACAATGTGTTTACTCTCTGCACTTTTCTGTTCAGGTTACCTTCCAAGGCTTCAGAACAGAAGAGTAACTTACCATCTACTGAAGGTCTTGAGCACAGTGGATATACAGAGGCTGTACATACTCCGTCTCGGAATAACCAGCCCGAGGAATCAAGTATAGAAGCACAGTTTTGACTCGTTCCACCCGCAGGTTCCGTTTCCAAATTCTCTCCAGAATCCTGAGGAACATATCTAAATAGAGGAACTGTTCAAAGTTTTTTGGTCGATTGTAATCACATGAAGCACTCTATGCAATAAGTTGGTGCAGCTGTAATATTTCCAGCGTTAACTACTGAATGTCATCACTCAATAAAGATTCCCTACTACCCAAATAATAATTAAGGGTGGCGCACCTGTGGTTATAGGTAGGCATGCTACATTATATAAGGCGAAACGATCCTTGCTAGTGTGTGCTAAATTGCTAGTCAAAATCTCTGTTATTTTCGGAAAAAATATCCTCTTTAAGCTGAAAGATACAAAACAGTTCTCTATGGACTGACATTGATACCCTATCAAAGTTTTGACACCAGTCAGCCGCTGGCTTAGTGGAATTATACTCGGCTTAGGGGCGCATCACGCGACTAAAGGCCACCTAACTGCATTCAGCGGCTGGTCATGCATTCAGCGGCTGGCTTCCCGAAGTGCGGGATTAGATTGCCCGATAGACCGAATATACGAAATAAGACCAAAAAAAGCAGCTGGCCAGGCTTCTGTGGGCAGAAGCTGTTATTGGAGCGAACCATGACCGTCTTCCGCTCATCATATGGAGTCGGTGTATGTACATGCGTACGTTTGTCAAGGCATATGATGGAACGAAATGAAAATTGATTTTACCAATTTTTCAAGCTTACGTGTTGTACGATAATAATTTCATTAATTAAAGGATAATATTATTTGGATTTATTTGGCAATCTTTAAAAACCACAGAATGCTTGAAGGCATGGAAATATGATTAAGGGGTGCAAGAGCAGAAAAATAGTGGTACGTGGCAGTAAAAAAAGTAATGCTTGTAGCTCCATGAGAAAAATGTCAAATTCTTGTCATAACATACATAACTAATACGTAAGATGTTAATTAGCAGAAAAAGTAATTATGATAGTTTTATTCAATTGCGGTTACTGGGCGTGAGTGTCCTACATAAAAACGTACATGACTCTGCTCAGGCACCTAACTACTTTCTGAACGAATTAAAAAAAGTTTAGTCATTAGTTCAAACAACCTTCCTTCCTTCAAACAACCTTCCTCATAGTAACTTTATCATGTTCACAAGGTAAAATTTGTGGCTAGCCTCTTTAAATGCTTAAATATTATTGCTGTTTAACGTGATGCAGCTTGAGGCAGAGTTTACAAGACGTTACATGTTCGTTTGGCTCGCAACTGTCGCCCAGAGGACGGCGACCGGCTTAATTCCCTAGTGGTACTAGTTATGATCACACGTCGAAAGGCGAACGTTGCTCATTTCAATCCTGAATCCTGTAATCGCAGTGGGAAAAGTGAACTTGTGAAGTATTAGACTTGAAAATTATATAGTTTAAAAGCTGAACATTATTAGAAACTGGGAATGTATTCGTTTTCCTGTACAATGGTTCTGCAAGTGGAGTTCATTGAGAAACACGACAGACGACACAGATAACGGCATAACGGGAATATAGTGGCGCAATGATGCCGGCATTCTACTGTACTTCGCTTTGAAGATTACTGAACTGGCAGGAATAGAAATTTTTAACTCGAGGTATATGCTGACATGATCATGTTATTTTAGCTGCTTTTTAATTTCTCATCGAGTTTTAATTTCTATCTCATCGAGAAAGCTGGATCCATGTGTGAAAATGCCAGTTCACTCAAGTTCAACTGCATGGTTAGGCTTAGTCTTCACCAGCAGTCACCATGTCGCTGCAAGAGAAACGCGTACAAACAAGGATAGAAATCCTATAGTCTCAATCTCAACACCGTAAGTAATCAAGTGGCTGGTTCATTGTAATTATATGCTTGTTTTTCGTTGTATCTTTGGGTTTGGTACCAGAGTGAAATCGAAGTAATGCGAATTGGGTAATTTTCGAAAAATTGCATATTATTAGAGCATAAATTTCCGAACTTACCATTGAACATGGCAATGTTAGGAAGGTAACAAGTTTCCACCGGAATTTATCGACGATAGCATTTGATCTATTCTTCTTCACAACCACTGTAGGAAGAATTTTATAGACTCTTGCAAATCAGTTCGATAGACCATTTGGCACGGGTGAATGTGTTAGAATGTTTCGCAGTCATAGCTATATGACTGCATTTGCACATAGAAATATGACTGCAAATCAATATTATTTCTAACCGGAGAATAAAGGACTTTTTATAAGAGACAATCAGAACTTCACCTTCAGTTTTCAGTAATTCTATGTAATTTCACCTCAACATTACAATACTGTTTTTAATATTATATTGTTCACTCCAATTGCATTTAGTCAAATACTATTGCATCTAGTCGTGACTTAGTTGAGCTTAATCCATTTACAATTTCATAATAAATAATTTTCCTTTTAGCAAATATGTTGTGTCATGTACAGAAAAAACATGGATTGACTCACCACGGCCCAGTACGGAGCGCCCATTTGCACGGCCGCTCCGTCACTCCACTGCCAATCATTGGTGAGCGTTCCATTGATCGCGCCTAACCAGTAGCCGTTGTTGAAATCAGTTGAGTCTGATGGAGTGCAAAGTTAATAGTAATAGATATATAATTATGTAATAATAATTTTAATTAATATAGAGCTTTTAGCGTTGATTAGAGCGTGATGACCTGTAGTCGATTATTAACTACCTGGCCACCTCCTCGAATTGCGCAACTTTTGCACCCCTACCCAGTTAAAATTTAGATCCGCCACAGCTTCTGATTCCTTGAATCAGAAGCTGCCACGCCTCTGAATTTAATTTGGGTAGCAGCTGCTCGGTCACCCCAAGCCGAGTGGTACGGACACCTAACATTTAACATCAACATTTAACATAACATTAACATTTAAGTCCAATTGTGAGTGAAAAAGTACCGCAGTAGAACATTAGTGTAGAATCGAATTCTTCCGCGCGCGGTTAACAGGGCATGCCGACTCGCCAAGTTTTAAAAAATCAGCGAAGAGGCATGCACAGCGTTTGTCTAATGATAATAGAATCATAATGATATTGCAAAAAATTCAATCAGAAGTCCTATTACAGATGAATTATGTTCGCTGAAATTCTGGTTCCACTAAACATCAAGTTGATGCATAGGGAGAGACTTTTTTGCTAAAATTGACTTCTAACATATGAGGGTCGACTTACAATGTTTCTAAGATGACAGACATTTTGAAAGCAGAATTTTTAAACTCTGCAAGTTTATTGGCTTTAACATGTTTTGCTGCTATAACCTTACATCCATCGTTGACATAGGAAGTGACATCAGTGAAGGAAGCGCAGTCTTTAAGCACAGGCAGCCTGCCGAAGTGCTGGGTGCAGTAAGTGGCCGCTTCGTCGTACGTCAGATATCCACCCGTGTAACGGTGGATGCACTTGGACCCGACGACCTCAAGAAAAATACCAGAATCGGCAACAGGCCAATCCAGGCCTATTCTTCAATGCCGAATATACTATACTATGCTAATTGACTACACTGTTATTAATAATAATAAGCAGACACTAACAAAAGCTGGAACTACTTAACAAAAACGGAAAGTTCTGCCCCTAATGGTTGTTCTAATTCCTGTGCAGAAGACACTCACCGATGATGAGCAGTAGCAAGCAGATGATCGTCGACGGAAACATTTGGGTGGTCTTAGGGGAGTATAACTCTAAATTAAACCTTTTGGACATTTAAAAACACACGAAAGTCAACAAGTTTAATAAGCCTCTTGAAGAAAAAGTATGTTCACGTGAACTACCGTATGTATGTACCGTGAACTACCTAGCACCAAAAAACATGATACTAGAGTTATCTTGTTGTTAAAGGCTACGGTTCGTTAGCATTCGGTGTGGCTGCAGAGAGAAATTCAAGAATTCGTACTATAGAATTCATTTGCAAAGAAATTAACGGAATAATAAAACAGGAATAATGATGAAACTTGCTAGTTAAGGAATCAAAAATACAATACGAGGACGATTGAATAATGGCGGGAGTTATCACTTGTTTGCTTGAATCGCAAGTTAACC